AAAAAAAAAAAATAGATGAATGGATAAACATTCACCATATCATGGAATACTACTCAGCAATAGAAAGGAATATGCTATTATTACATGCAAATCATTGTTTAATAAATAAAGTATAGTGATAAAAAGTAGATGAGAGGTTGCCTGGGAATGGGGGTGGAAGGAGAAATGGATTATAAATGGGTAGAAAGAGACTTTTGGAGATGATGGAAGTGTTTGCTATTTTGATTATGGTCATGGTTTTATAGGCTTAAATATATGTAAAACAGATCAAATTGAATATTTTAGGTACTTTTAAAACTTTAATTATATCTTAATAAAGCTGAAATGCTTCCTCACGTGTAGATACAGACTGAAAGGACTGAAAGTGACAACCTGTTTGGGTGTTTTATTCTCGTGATATTTAGTTTATTTATTTTTGCTTTTTTTTCATTATAACTTCATTTTTTCCCTTGCTGGCCTCTTTAAAAGACCCCCTCAGCTTTATATCCATTTTCTGTAATTTCAAGACAATAGCATATGCTATGGAAAGTCTGACTCCTCTTCTCAGAGATCTCCTTTTGTCCTTGATTTCTAGACTTCTAACCCAAGCCTTGCTTCAAAATGTATAAAAACATACAATTTTCCTCAAGAAACGAAAAAATTTACAAATATGTATGTATAAATGATTGATTGGGGTGAATGTGTTAGCCCCTTTTGTTGTTCCTGGTTGACTGATTTTTTTTTTTGTTTTCATAAGAGATTCATTTTATTTTCTTATAGGCCTCTTTAGGAACACTCCCACTGACAACTCTATCATCAACTTAAAAATTCCGAATGTACTGCCCACCAAGTTCAGGGATCAGGAAAAGTTGACTCTCCTATGATGTATAAATTAATGGACGTGTTCACTGTGGTAGCTCAGTTCTTCTTCAATCACCTTCTGAATTGGCTCCCTGACTTTTACTTTTTCCAGAAAGTTCTGTCCTCATTCTTCCACCCTTGCAGAAATGCCCAGGAAAGTGTGCTTTCCTCAGTTCACCTTCAATCATGTTCTGATCATGGTCCCTGAATTTTACTGCTTCTAGAAAGTTTTGTACTCATCCTCCACCATTAGAGAAACTCCCAGAAGGGGCATCTTAATTTGGTTTTTCTTCAACCAATCACATTGTAACCTTGTTCCCTGACCTTTACCACTTTTCCCAAGTTCTCACTGCATCATCCTATTCCCTCAGAAACACCAAGGGGAGGGGATTTATTTCAGTTCTTCAAAAAACCATATTCTGAACCCAAACATTGACCCTTCTTCCAGAAAGCCTGTCCTCATTCCCATCACCCAAAACCCTGGTGAGGCTTCCTTCAAGTCTTTTACAGGTCAAGATCTGATCTCAGCCCCTATCCCCAGATTATTTTCAAAATCGAGGCTACCTTGGAAAATCTAGTATTTTCTAGAAAAAATTGTATAATGTACAGTATTGATTTTCAGAGGGACCAAAGGTCCATTCATGAATATCAATCACCTAGCCTTGAAGAAGTGCCTGAGTTTACCACCTTGCATTTTTAGATCAGACTCTCCATCTTTCCCTTCCTCTAGACAGATGAAAGATCATTCTAGCTCCAAAACGTTGTAAGGGACAGTTCTCCTTAAACGTGCTTCTCAATTGAAGATGCAGGGACTCTGGTGATTAAAATGTGAACATGAAATAAAATGATTTTTGTGTAAGTTGTACATATTTGTTCATACCTACCACTGGCAATCAGTACACACTGCAAGAATTTCCAAATTGTGCCTTGTGGAAGCTCTGTGATGAGATCAAGACCCTGAACTTGGAACTGTGGTCCTAGCTCTAAACCAGCTGTGTGACCTTGGGAAAATCACTTTCCTACCATTTCTTCATTTCTGAAATGAAGTTTGGACTGAAGAAGTGCGTTTCAATTTTTTTACCGTGACCTACAGTTTGAAATACTTTTTAAATATTATATATTTTATGCCTTTTATCAGGTGACAATACTTCCTACATGTAAAACTAAAACAAACTTCTCAAAATAATTAACAGTACTCCTCATGGGTGATGGTCTCTGATGTTTGGGTTTTCTTTTTAATTGCTTGTTGTGACCCACAAAATTTCAAGAGCCATAATGGGTCGCAATCCTCACTTTGAAGAACACTGGATTGGAGGGTCTTCAAGATTTCTTTCTGCTGTACTCTAAAAATTAGTGTCTGCATTGGAAATGTAGAAAAAAATACAAAAATAAAAATCAGCCTCAGACTTGCTGTCTTCCTTGACTTTCCTCAGCTAATGTTACAAAAGTCAAATATTCTGCATCTCCTTACGACAAAGTCTTATAGAAACAGCTCAGGCCAGAACACCCCACCCAAGATATGGACGTGTTCAGCCTTGGTACTTAGCATCTCTAAACACCAGTACCCTCATCTGCCACTGTCCCTACCACTTAATCAGTTTAAGGTCTTGTATTTTTCTTAATATTTTTGCCCATTGAGTTCAGATAAGTATTCATCCTATGTAATTCTAGTGAATTGTTTACACTTAATATGACAATACATGGATATATGTACACAAGCATACACACCAATATACACACAAATCTGTATATACATACATACACACAATAGTGGCCTCAGACTTTGGTATACATCAGAATTACCTGGGGGAGCTTGTTAAAATGTGGGGATTCTAGAGACCCACGCTGTGGGTCTAGAGAATAGGAGCCAGAGATCATACATTCTCAAAAAGCTCCCCCACCAAGGTGTTTTTATGCAGATGATGGACTCACACTGTTTGAAAAACAGTATAAAGTGAATTCTTAAAAAGGTATCAAATGGTGAATTATGAGTATGATCCTTCCTTACTGATTGGTGAGGTGGGGGGGCAAGAAAAAATAGTCAAGTTCGATTGAAATTTTGAGTCTTGGTAGCTAGGAAAGGCAATATTAACAAAAACTAAAAACTAAAAACTGGGGAAGAGAAAGATTTCTTTTTAAACTGCTTTATTAATTTCACATTATGAAAAGAATATTTCCCCCCCCCCCCACAACTCGGTGAAATTGTCCTTCTGGACAGAAAGTTTTACACTGAAAGAAAACAACATTCATTTAGAAACTGATAAGAGGAAACACCAAAAAGTTTACAGAAAAGTAAATCACAAAACTACAAGCTTGTAGAGCAGAAGCCACATTATTAACCTCTGGGAAAACCTTAGCATTCAAGGTATAAGGCAAAAGTCATAATGATTATCAGGTTCAGGAGTTTGGAAGCGCACATGATGTCTCATTTGCTGCTCCCTAGTCCTTTTCTTGATTTTCATCCTCTGCACTATGATCTTTTCTACATCATCTCCCACTTCATTGTGATCAACATGCTTGTTAGGCATGGCCCATCGAAAGTTAGGGACAAGTCGCCTAACCCACCCCAGCCTAACATTTCCTCCAGGCTTCTGGACTTCGGCTTCTCTCAAATGGCCCGGTTCCTCTCCATTCTGCATGGGAGCCTGTTCCCCGCCTTCGCTCTCCTGTTGGGCGTTTTCCATGTTGAGAGTTTTTACTGCTTGTTCCTCTTTGGACGCCATTGCTCCTAGGAGACAAGAGATGAACTATTTTTTGGTGGACTTATCAGCACCGAGGACAGAGGCCCTACTACGCACCTGGATTTCAAAGGCTGTTTAAAATTGCATTTCACGCCCTCTAGGGGGCCCCCAGCCCAAGCGCTTCCCCCTTCCTCGGGCTCCTGTCCCCTCCCTCGCCCCAAACCCACCATTTTCCGTGCGGATCCGTGCCCAGGCCTCTGCAGGCACCAAGACGGAGGACGGAGGTGGGGGAAGGATTCGGCGGCTCAGGGCTTTCCACTCGCCCCC